TAGTATTAGAAGTTCTGGCCAGGAAAATCAGGGAAGAGAAAGAAACAAAGTGTATTCAAATGCGAACAAAGGAAGTCAAATTATCTCAGTTTGCAGATTACATGATTGTATATTTAGAAAACCCCATCATCTCAGCCCCAAAACTACTTAGGCCGATAAGCAATTTCAACAATGTCTCAGAGTGCAAAATCAATGGGCAAAAATCACAAGGATTCCTATACACCAGTAATAGAGAGGCAAATCATGAGTGAACTCTCATTCACAATTGCTACAAAGAGAATAAAATACCCAGGAATACAACTTACAAGGGATGTGAAGGACCTCTTCAAGGAGAACTACAATATGCTAGTCAAGGAAATAAGAGAGAACACAAATGAAAAAACAGTCCATGCTCATCGATAGAATCAATATTGTGAAAATGTTCATACTGCCCAAAGTAATTTATAGATTCAGTGCTATCCCCATCAAGCTACCATTGAATTTCTTCACAGAATTAAAAAAAAAAAAATCTACTTTAAATTTTATATGGAACCAGAAAAGAGCCTGTATAGCCTGTCTTGGCCTGATAGCCAAGACAATCCTAATCAAAAAGAACAAAGCTGGAGGCATCAGGCTACCTGATTTCAAACTATATTATAAGGCTACACTAACCAAAAGGGAATGGCACTGGTACCAAAACAGATATAGAGAGTAGTAGAACAGAAGAGAGGCCTCAGAAATAATGCCACATATCTACAACCATCTGATCTTTGACAAAACTGAAAAAAAGAAAAAAGAAAAAAAAAACAAAAAACAAGCAACGGGGAAAGGATTCTGTATTTAATAAATGGTGTTAGGAAAACTGGCTAGCCATATGCAGAAAACCGTAACTGGACCCCTTTCTTACACCTTATACAAAAATTAGCCCAAATTGGATTGTGATTCATACGTAAAATGTAAAACCATAAAAACCATAGAAGAAAACTTAGGCAATACCATTTAGGACATAGGCATGGGCAAACTTCATGACTAAAACACCAAAAGCAATTGCAACAAAAGCCAAAATTGATAAATGGGATCTAATTAAGCTAAAAAGCTTAATTCTGCACAGCAAAAGAAACTGTCATCAGAGTAAACAGGCAACCTACAGAATGGGAGAAAATTTTTGCAATCTATCTATCTGACAAAGGGTTAACATCCAGAGTCTACAAGGAACTTAAACAAATTTACAAGAAAAAAACAACCTTATAAAAAAAATGGGCAAAGAATATGAAAAGACATTTTTCCAAAGAAGACATTTATGCAGACAACAAACATATGAAGAAAAGCTCATCATCACTGGTCATTAGAGAAATGCAAATCAAAACCATAATGAGATGCCATCTCACACCAGTTAGAATGGCAATCATTAAAAAGTCAGGAAATAACAGATGCAGGAGAGGATGTGGAGAAATAGGAATGCTTTTACTCTGTTGGTGGGAGTGTGAATAGTTCAACCATTGTGGAAGACAGCATGGCAATTCCTCAAGGGTCTAGAACTAGAAATACCATTTGACCCAGCAATCCCATTACTGGGTATATACCCAAAGGAGCATAAATCATTCCACTGTAAAGACACATGCACACATATGTTTATTGCAGCACTATTCACCATAGCAAAGACTTGGAACCAACCCAAATGCCCATCAATGTTAGACTGGATAAAGAAATTATGGCACATGTACAACATGGAATACTATACAGCCATAAAAAAGAATGAGTTCATGTCCTTTGCATGAATGAAGGACATTCTCAGCAAACTAACACAGGAATAGAAAACCGCACATTCTCACTTATAAGTGGGAGTTCAACAATGGGAACAGATAGGCACAGCTTGGGGAACATCACAAATCGGGACCTGTTGGGGGATGGGGCAAGGGGAGGAATAGCATTAGGAGAAATACCTAATGTAGATGATGGGTTGATGGATGCAGCAAACCACCATGGCACATGTATACCTATGTAACAAACTAGCACATACTGCACATGTATCCCAAAACTTAAAGTATAATTTAAAAAAAAAGTCTGGCCCAAGACACCAGGAACATTCTGCAATAGTAACAGCAAAGATGCCAAAGAGGCTTTCCAATCAGATTGACTGAAAGTAGCTACCTGACTTCCTGTATAGTAAAAAGATGTGGCGGTTTTACAGTAGCTTCCATAGGCACACAAGAAGAAAATAGCAAACTATCTGCTCTTCTTGTGACAATGGTTAGAATTTGGTTTATTCCAGATTGCCTCTATAATTATCTGTATATATGAAGTTAAAGGGAGTTGGTGGGCTCAAGTAGCCAGACCACCAGGCACCCAGATTTTTATATAGGCTGGGTCTTTAGGTACTCATTGAGACCTTAGGTAAGTAACGTCACTTCCTCTGTCTAAGCCATGTTTCTAAACAGGGATGATAACACTTGCCCTTTCTTCCACCCATGGGTTCCATGAGGAACCAGTGAGGTCGCTTATGTGAAAAAGAAAACACTAAAAAAGTGTAAGTCAAATTCTAAAAGTGTAATTTTTTTAAATTTCCAATGCGAAGTATACATTCTTTGCAAAATTTTAAATTTGAATTTCCCAGATTTCAGAAGGGGCTATTTAGTTCTGCAGGACTGAATGAGGCAATGATAATGTACAATAAATTTCCCAGTGATTGTTAATTGTTGGAATTAAATGCGAACTTTTTCACAATTCTTTTGCTCAGTATACTTTACAGATCTGAACTTCCTAAACATTTATGATAATGGGGTAATTATCCTACTTGAAAAAAAATAAGGGTCTAATTGTCAACACTGCATATTTCACATAGGGTAGAAAATTCAACCACTTCAAAAACAATCCAGTTGACTTCTGATTAGATATTTGACTAGAGATGAGGTTTATGATATGCTTTGTACTCACTTGACCTCAGTTCTCCACACCCTTAATCTAGTAAAGAGACTAAAGTTTCCTTATGTCAGACATACTCTTCATTCTTCCCTTATGGTACTTGAACACCCACTCAGGGTACATGGAATATCTCTTCTTTATTTATTATTTCCATGCACACAGTATGAATCAGGTGGTAACAACAAACCTAGAAAAATTGCTTCAGCTGTGTGCAGCACTTATCTAGAGAGTAATATCTGTATGTACCTTATCTAGAGCACTTCCACTGCCATGCTTCCATCTGATTCTCGTAATTACTCTATGAGACAGACACTACAGATGATATGATCTCCTTTTATACAGATAATAAAACAATGGCTCAAAGAAGTTAAACAATTTGCCCAAAATTATATAACCAATTTATGGCAAATCAAGACCAGGGTCAGGGTGTCTGATTCCAAATGGCATGATCTGCCCACCACACTGCAGAGATTAAGACTCTCATTATAGACTAAGTGATGGACATCTCCTCTGATACCTGATCTTCTCATCAGAATAATGGGAATGGGAATTCATCCATTACTCTCATTCTTGAACTTCTCCTGCTAAAAGTTTACCTTCAAGGAATGAGAAAAAGTACGTTTCTGGTTTTCATAATAATAGACTCATCACCAATACATGCCTCTTAGAGCCATATTCATAACTTGTTTGTAGAATTTAGCCATAGTGGAGCAAGAGCCTTATAAGCAGTAGCATTAAAGGAAATATGCAAATAACATTCACAATACGAGAATGCCAAACATAACCCTCATTCACAAATGTGTCCAACAGTGTGTTCCTGGAGTGTGATAATCAGGTAAAAGACTTACTGACTCTATAAAAGTAAACCACCAAGGAAATCAATTATTTTTTAAAAAAACTGACCTGACTTGCCGGGTGTGGTGGTTCACACCTGTAATCCCGGCACTTTGGGAGGCTGAGGCAGCTGGATCATGAGGTCAGGAGATCAAGACCATCCTGGCCAACATGGTGAAATCCTGTCTCTACTAAAATACAAAAAAATAGCCGGGCGTGGTGGCACGCACCTGTAGTCCCAGCTACTTGCGAGGCTGAGGCAGGAGAATCACTCGAACCCTAGAGGCAGAAGTTGCAGTGAGCTGAGATTGCACCATTGGACTCCAGCCTAGCTGACAGAGTGAGACTCTGTCTCAAAAAAAAAAAAAAAGAAACTGACTTGACCTATGACTTTTTACAGTTAGTATACAGTTAGTTATATACCCAGGCTACTCAGGCACTGTTTGCTCATCCAATTATGTTTCTCAAGTGAAGATTTTTGGGGAAGAAAAACAAATCAGACTCCATTTAACTTCCATGAGTCAAATGAGGAGAAGTCTATCTCAGAGGTATAAAAGCTGGAATAACATCACACATTTATTATCTGAAATGTCCATTGATATAGAAGCAGGTTTGATGTCAACAGCATGACCACCCATCCTCACTTGCCCAGGACGGACCCAGTTTTTACCTGTCAACCCAATGTAATTATTAATAATGTCCATATCCTTCTCTGAAATGTTCCACTATGAGTAATTAAGTATATATTTAGCCTACAAATTAATATTCTCCCTGCTGTACCTTAATCCTAAAACCTATCATATTAACCAAAAAAAAAGATACCACTGAGTGATTATGTTTATGTTCTGATCATATTTTGTGTTTTTGAAATACCCTCTCATGTGTGAAAGATAGATGCTGTGATATATAATGAAATAGGGCTCAGGCTAAGCTTTAGCCCTCACTGTGCCATAAATTGTATGTAATTAAACTATTGATTTACTGCTCTGTGATTATTTTTCTTATCTATAAAATTAGGAGCTTAGGCCAGTTGTTTGTAAAACCCCCTTCATGATTCTAAAATGTATGAATCAATGTTAGTTGAACACTGGTACTCTCTGTCAGTAGCTAAATAAAAGGTGTGGATATTTTTAAACAAAAAGATACTTGATGTTCATGTGTTAAGTGGTTAGACTTGAGCAATGTGGAAAAGCAGAGGTTTTGTACTACCTGAATCGCACGACAGAAATTCAGATTTACATAATCTTCTTCTTTTTCTTCTGCAGTTTCTGTTTCTATTCTTGTTCTTCTCTCTTGCCTTTATTCTATGGCCTTGATGTCAAGGTGCCTCTTAAAGGTAAGATTCCATTTAATTCTCAAAATGTGGTTCTAAGAGGTATTTGATTAANAAAAAAAAAAAAAAAAAAAAAAGAATGCTACTTATACTTACTATGCCTTTCTTTAGTTTTCTTTTCTTTTCTTTTCTTTTTTTTTTGACAGAGTCTTGCTCTGTCATCTATGCTGGAATGCAGTGGCAAAATCAGACCATATTTCACTACAGCCTCAATCTCCCACACTCAAGTGATTCTCCAGCCTCACCCTCTTGAGTAGCTGGGACTACAGACATGTGCCACCATGCTCAGCTAAGCTTTTAATTTAATTTTATTTTATTTTATTTTTTTAGAGACAAGGCCCCCCTTTGTTGCCCAGGCTGGTCTTGAACTTCAGAGCTCAAGCAATTCTCCTGCCTCAGCCTCCCAAAGTGTAGAGATTACAGGCATGAGCCAACATGCCTGGTCTATATTTTTTTTAAACTATGCTGTATTTTTTAAAAACAAACACACTTGCTTTGGTTAGCATAAATGCCGTAAATTGAGACACAGATCCAGTTTATTTGAGTGATTATTAGAAAAATGAAGAAACTGAATATCCTGGGAATCAAGAATTTGTTCCAGTTAACTATATCACTTTGGGAATTCACAATGTCTGTGGATCTTAGTATTCTCATCATAATCTCCCATTATACAGAAAGTTGTGTCTATATCTGCAAAGTGAAGAAATAATGACTTTATCTATAGTATTGCTTTCAGCTTGAAAATTCTGATTCTGCTAATCTAACAAGCTAATAATGACTGCTTTGTTTTCACCCCTTTTCCCCAGTAGAGACTAGGGAGTTCATTAAAACCCAAGAAAGAAGGCTAAGTAAAATTGGATCTTGTTTTCAAATAAGTTACTTTTCAATTTGTCAATATAGAAAACAAAATGGGAGTCTTATTATCATTATTACTAAGTCCATGTCTCATGAGTACATGCATAAATGATCTTAGTGAGTCCCAGTCTTAAAAATACAGATTTCTAAGCCCCACCTCAGACTTGCTGAATCAGATCACTGGAGATAGAGGTGACAAAGAGAGAGGGTGGGAGAGGCGACAGCAAGGATTGGTCTGTATTTAACAAGCGCACTATGTGATTCTGATGGCCAGCCAGGTAGGGAAACTGCAAATCTCAATACCATTGTTAAAAAAGAAGGGCCAGCGGCTATTCTAAATCCATTTATCATGGTTCATGTCAACTCTGATTATCCTATTGAATTATATTAGGCTGAGATCTTTCCTGGACCTCAGGTGATTTAACATTTTCTATAGCAAGTTGGAAAACAGAAGAGAGATCATACTCTCTCCATAAGTATGAGATCCATTACCTGGATATGGAACAGATAAGTAAAAGTGCTTCAGCATAATCTGATATAAGCAAAGAGTTAAGCAGGTATGCTCAGAAAATGTATGAACTCATAACTCACTCTCTGCTGTATTCTTTCTTGCAAAAGATTTTCTTTTCAGACTGACCAGTATCATTTGTCTGTCAAGAAAGGTGATGGCACTGTAGCACAGAAACAAGAGGATTGAGTCTCTTAAATGGAATGAGAATATCCAAATTGAAATGGAATGAGAGTCTCTAGCAAAGGATCAAAATGGCCAGAGTATCAGAAGATAAACAGCCTTCCCCGACCAAAATAAATAAATAAATAAATAAATTTTAAACATAGGGGAAATAAATTTCAGTAAGAGACAAGTAATACATGGTGGTTTAGAGAAGAAATATCAAACCTCATAAGTACTAGGTAGAAAATGGGTAGGCTTCAGCATTAACATCAATGCTGGCTAAAGCTGATTATAAGCTGTTCTAAGTAACAGATACATTTAGTCCTCACAGAGTCTCCTGTGGGATAGGTATTGATTTTATTCCTAAATTACAGTTGGAGAAACTATAGCATGTGACTTTCCCAAGAATATAGGGCTACAAATTTGTACCCAGGCAGCCTCAGTCCAGGATCTACTTTTGACCACCAAACTGCCTCACAAATAAAAGAGGGCCTTTCTGTGTGTTTGAAGCAACATTGCTGTTCATCAGGGGCATCATCTTCTATTTGTGTAGCGCTACTTAGCTATTGGCTTTTGAAATTACAGTGTGCACATCTCTGTACCTTTTCCCATTTTGTGTAACTCCTTGAGGGATGTACAAGAGTTGATGTTTTTCCTCCAAAGTAGCACATAAATAACACTTAGTAATTATCTGTTAAATGGATGACTATAATGAAATTAATATTCTAGCAGATTTATGTGACGGTGAATCTGGGCAATATAATATAATATAATATAATGCATATGCAGTAAAATGGCTGAGAGGTTAGAGTGCACAGCCTACTAGTCAGATACACTTTTAAGCTGAGTCCTGCCATTTACTAGTTGTGTAATCCACCCAAGATTAGGTTTCCTATTCCACAAAGTGGTTATAATCATGTTACCTACGGCAGGATATTGTGTAGAGAGAATGAAATGAGGTTACGCATGTCAAAAAAATAATTAAATAACCAGTAACTCTTAGCGATTATTATATTTTAAAAATAGCTACCACACTACTGAATTCAAAATTATACTAGTATACTAGTATACAAAATTATACTAGTTTCAAAATTAGAACTTCTAGTACTGGCAAGGAGTTTAAATCCTAACCCCAAATAAGGAGTTGCTTTTTTGACTCCTCTTCTCAGGGCATAATCTGGCTTAATATTCGGGAATAAAGCATCACTGAAAACTGATTAATGTTACATATGTCTCCAAAGTTGGCAAGAGAGAAATAAGAATAAGTAGGGGGAATGTTGCTTGTTTATTGGTAGGTAGTGAAAGCTTACTGCAAGTAACCGTGAATTTTTTTCCATACTAAATTAGTGATTTGTATTCTGTTAATAAGCTCAAGACTAGCTCAAATTACAAAGTCCTCCTTAAAATGGAGTGACTCTTACTTCTTTTTTTTTTAGTAATTACCTAAGTCATTATTGTCAGTGATTAGTTGCTCTATCCAGGTTACAATGACCCGTTGAAAACCCTCCTCTTCCGAGCAGGGATGAATTAATGAAGAACATGACAGTACAAGCTTTGCTCATTATGAAGTTGGGAGGACCAGAGATCAGGTGGTCATGATTCTTTATCCACATACACTGGTCTAGCTCATTTTTACTATTCCTCCTGGACAAATTTTACATGCATTTGGATGTGTATATATATATTATATATATATATATATATATATACACACACACATTATATTATATATACATTATATATACATTATATACATATACATTATATACATTATATACATTTTATACATTTTATACATTATATACATTATATATATACATTATATTATATATATATAAACATTTTATATATATATAAACATTTTATATATATATATAAACATTTTATATATATATATATAAACATTTTATATATATATATATAATGTTTAATGATATTTCTCCAGGGTTAACCATAAATTTTTTAACTTGACAGCCCAATATTTTTACTTCCTGTCTAGTAACATAAAAAAAAAGTCAAAAGGCACATAATACTGTTATTGTTCTAATGAAAAAAAAAACGAGAAATTAAATACTGTATTATTTGTTAAAATAGGCAAATATTTACTCAGGTAACCTGGGGAAAACAAATGGCTACATGACCAGTCTCTACTGTATTTATCATTTAAAGTATTAGTAGGATCAGCTGGGCACAGTGGCTCATTCCTGTAATCCCAGCACTTTGGGAGGCCAAGGCGGGTGTTGGAGACCAGCCTGGCCAACGTGGTAAAAACCCCATCTCTATTAAAAAAAATACAAAAATACAAAAATTAGCCAGGCATCGTGGCGTGTGCCTCTAATCCCAGATACTTGGGAGACTGAGGCAGGAGAATCACTTAGAACTTGGGAGGCAGATGGTGCAGTGAGCCAAGATCGCACCACTGCACTCAGCCTGGTGACAGAGTGAGACTCTGTCCCCCGAAAAAATAAATAAACAAAGTATTAGTAGGAAAATTTTACTCCTCATTTTTTTATATTGATAAGGAAAGTCTATAAAATGAATCATTGTATGCCAGTTAGTAATTCCTTTTTATGTAAATATATCCATTAGCTTTATCCAGTCGTATATAAATTGTTTCCCTATTTGTGCTAATAAATACATATTTATTAGTCTCACAAATTGTACTAATAAAGCATAGAGTAAAAGTTAGTTTTATTCATCTTTGTATCTTTGTCTATAACAGTGCCTTATCTATCCTAGGTGCAGAATAAATTTCAGATTGACAGATGAACTGAGAGGCAGATGGATGAATGAATAGCTGAGAAAATGAATATGAAAGCTGATTTGGGATATGTTAGATCAGAGCCAAGGATAGCATAGTCATAAAGATAACATATTCGATTTGTTTTTTTATATACCATTTGAAGACTACCTTAAAGAATGCATTGACAAAGGAAAGAGGACACAAATATATTTCCCCCTCCTCCACAGCTGAAATAGCCCACTAACTGGGCTCAGTGCTTCCACGATAGACATTCTTTTAACTCATTCTCTTCAGAGTAGTTACAGTGAGCTTTTAGAAATGCAAACTTTGCCTTGATCTCTTCCTAGGAAAACATCACTATTAGGATCAAGTCCCTTCAACCAACCTATTGATAACAAGTTTAAAAAAATATATCCAATTTGAATTCTTTAACTTGGCCAACAAAGCCCTGCCTGGTTCTAACCACACAGGCAATCTCTCAGGCTTCCCAGTGCTCCACTTTCCCTTCATGAGCCACACGCCCTCCTGCCTTCCACAGGGTTTGCCCAAGCTGTCTTGGTGCACAGAATGCTTCCCTTCTACTTTAACTAGTAAACACCTACTCACCTACCTTTTGCATCTCAATTCAGTTGTGATTCCCACAAAGACATCTTTCTCAGTTTCCTTTCTGGACAAGTTTATATGCATTGGGAATATAAAAATTAATGTCTATCTCATTGTAAATAAACTTCATGAGGATAAGGACCATATAATTTTGTTTAACCTTGTATACCAAATACCTAGCACATAATCAACAGTGTCTACCATGTAGTCAATAATCAATAAATACTTTAAAAATAATATTAATGATATTATGATAAAGAAGAAGGAGAGAACATCTTGCTTTACAGTTCAAAAAGTACATTTATATTTATTATTTTTTGTAATACTTAAAACAATCCTGCATAATAGAGACTATTATAACTCTCTTAGTCCATTTATGCTATTATAACAAAATACCTGAGACTAGATGATTTATAAATAATAGAAATGTATTTCTCACTGTTCTGGAGGCCAGAAGTTGAAGATCGAGGCATTAGCAGGTTTGGTGTCTGGTGAGGGCCTGGTCTTTGCTTCCAAGATGAAGCCTTGTTGCTGTATCCCCTGGAGGGGGCGAAGCTGTGTCACAGGACAGAAGGGACGGAGGGGGAAAGAGCCTCAGTTAGTTTACTGCAGCCCTTTCATAAGCCCTCAGCCATTCTGCACTTACGGCCTGATAACCTCCTAAACGCCTCACCTGTTAATACTCTTGCACTGGGGATTAAGTTGCAACATGAATTTTGGAGAGGACACAAACATTCAAAATATAACACTCTCCAAACATTGATTTCCTAATATAAAAAATTAGCAAGTAATAGCACCCACTGTTTTTCTGAGGATTGAGTGATTCTATACAAGTAAAATAACTACTTTCGTACTTGGCACATAGAAACGCTCGTTAAAGGTCAGGTTTGTAGACATACCAAGCATTCTGTCCTGAATCATGCCTTTTAAGATGTGCTTCCATCTTCCTGGACCACATTTCCCACATCACCATTAAATGGTTGATACCCATTCATCCTTCCCATCTCAGTGGAAAATCAGGGAAGGCTTCCCTGATCCTCCAGCTTCAGTTACATTTCATTCAGTACTATTATGTCTTCCCTACCAGGATTTTTATGGACTAATTATTGAATAATTTTCAGACTCCATATCCTCATCTGTATAATGGAGGAAATAATAATAGCTACCAGTTATTGAATACCTTATGATAAATTGCATATGAAGGATGAGGAGTGGAAGGTGTCAGAGATGACCCTTGTGTTCCTGGATGGTGTAACTGGTTAGATGGTGGTGTTCCTTACAGAAGCTACAACCACAAGTCAGAGGTGGCATCACTGTACTTAAGACTTGGAGTTTGTGGCATTTGCCAGGTGCAGTGGCTCATGCCTGTAATTGCAGCACTTTGAGAGGCTGAGGTAGGCAGATCACTTGAGCCCAGGAGTTTGAGAGCAGCCTGGGAAACATAGCAAAACCCCATGTCTACAAAATACCAAAACTAGCTGAGCATGGGGGTGCGTGCCTGTGCTACCAGCTACTTGGGAGGCTGAAGTGCAGGGATCGCTTACGCCTGGGAGGTCGATGCTGCAGTGAGACGAGATTGCACCACGGCACTCCAGCCTGGACAACAAAGCAAGACCCTGTCTCAAAAAAAAAAAAAGAATGTGTAGCCTGTAGTAATCTCAAAAATGATAGTGGTAATTGCCGTTTTCCGTTTTACAGATGAGGAAACAAAAGTGCAGCACTGCTAAGCCATCTGTTAAAAAGAACCCCTGTGACCCATTGGGTAACTGCAGTAATTCAGAATCCTAATTTGAACAAATCTCACTTTACTACAGAAATCACAGTTCCTTTTATAAGTACTTCTCAAATGATAGAAATTTAACATTCCAGGAGACTGCCTGGACTGCCGGTGAGGTCCATTGGTTTTCAAAACCAACATGTGTTTATTCAATTGAGGGCTTGTACCTCAGTTGTGATAGGTAGAAATGATGTACACATGCTTTGACACAATATATAGGATTTAGTCTTTGATAGCCTATACATTGAAAGTTTGCAAGTAAAAGATTTTTTGTGTTTGTATATTTATTCTATGTTTAAAAACCCAAACAAAAATATAACCCCAAAGAATTTTTTATACACATTCAGATCAACTCTCTTCTTTACCAGGGAATAGGAGAATGTTATATTTGTAACTAGTTTTTTGGGGTTCTCATCCCAGTGCAATGTAAATACGAACTCTATCTATTTTCTCAATTCATAGCTTTCTTCACTCAGGTACTGTGTTATTTCCCTCTATCATCTTTTAATTAATTATTAGGTTGGTCCCTCAACTTTTCAGTCACTCTCAACTCTCAAAAGTCTTAACCCAGTTTAAAAGTTCAATTTCAGTCTCTGCTTATTCTCATTTCTTCCCTTATTCTACCTTAGGCATGAGCCAGGTACCCCAATGGAACTGTAGTTCAGGGTCTGACTCTAATAGATCTCTTCCCCTTCTCTTCCTCCTCAAGGCTGAGCCTTTCTGGAGAGCAGGGAGGAAGCAGAGGGAAAAGGATTCTGCCTCTCAACTCCTTTGGCAGTTATTGCAGCTGTTTCTCTGACTACTATTGACTAACATGTGATGTCTTTTCTATGAGAGGTGACCAAAGGCTGGCTATTCTGGGCAACATATGTGTGAATTCTTCAGAAGGCTATGCAGAGGATGCCCACTGCACTGCTCCCAGCCTGGCCAAGGTCCAGCTTCTTCCACTGCCTCACTGGCTCCCATCATTGGTGGTACAACCCACAGCTTTTGGCTGAGGAGGTAGCTTTTTGATGAAGCATGGGACAAGGAGACAACTACGCTGTGGCCCTTGTCTCTGCCCTGTCATCCCTCTTCAATTCTCTGCTCAGATATAGGCAAGGGAAGATGAGCAACTCTGTGTCTGAGCAACATAAGGCAAGTGTGCCTCTGTGCATACACCATCAATCTCTTTATGCCTCTTCGTACCTTCTCCCTCAGTGTGGTCTTTCCCCGACCACTGCACTTCCTTTCCGTAGGTTCTCCTCTGTCACCCTGTCACTCTTTCATCCCAGTCTAACCTTGTCTTGGGAGCAAAATGGCTCTGCAAATATGCATTCACGGCAAGCATTTCTGTGGAACCTTAAGTTGCCTCTGGTTGGTTCACTGGAATTATCCTTGGGGTACTAAGTGCCTCTTTTCCCCCCATTTTGGATTGTGGTTTTAACATTTAACTTTGGATTTAACATTTCTGGAATAATAGTAAAGTCCCTCTACAGAATCAGTGTCCTTATTTCATAGATGAGGAAATTGAAGCTTAAAGAAGTTAATCTTTGGGCATACAGCAAGAAAACAGAAATCCCATTTTCTCTATCCACATTGTTCAGACCCGAAAGGCCATGCCCTTAAGTAGTGCATGACAGCGTATCCTCATAACACATCCTCTGTGCTATTTCTGGCTTTCACTGGAAGATAGCATTAAGACCTGGATTTCTACACAAGTGAAAACTCAGACATATGGACTTACAGAGGAACGGGGCTAGGAGTCCTGACTGCCACATGTCAGGATAGCACCTTCTCAGGGATCTCTCTGGGCCAACCAAGAAGCATGTGTAGCAGAATTCCCAGGGAGTTCTCCAATCAGGACTTTAGGTAGAGACAACATGCCAACAGTTACAATTTTGTTGGGGAGGAAATGTGACACAGAGTGAGTCACTGAATGGAATAGACAGATCTTCTTTTAAAATAACATCTTACAAACACAGTAGATACTGGAGACTCCAAAAGTAGGGAGGCAGAGAGGTGGCAGGGTTTGAAAAATGACCTATTGAGTACTATGTTCACTTTTTGTGTGATGAGTTCAACAAAAGCCCAGACCTCTGCATTATGCAATATATCCACGTCACCAACCTGCACATTTACCTTCTGAATCTAAAATAAGTTTCAAAAATAAAATAACATCTTAAATGGATAAGTTGGGGCATGATGATTCAATTTAACTTCTTAACCTATCACCTTGGAAGGTCCCAAAGGAAAGGACACTAATGACAATAGCTAATATTTCAGGCCACTTACTTTGAGACAAGAACCATTAATTGTTTTATATGCATTATGTTGCAGCAACCCTTGAAACAGATACTTCTATTTTCTCACTTAAAATTAAAGTAACTAAGCTTAGAGATGTAACTTGCATAAGATAATAGACATTGAAGTGTGGCAAAGAATAAAAAATGTGTGTCTTTTTTAAAAGTTTGCTTTTTATGATTTGGCTATTAATAAAAATGATGATAAAATAATTTTTCCTCTGTTTTACAGAGTTACCGAAAACATGGATAAGAGTCCAGAAAGGCAAATGCTTCTAAACCTTCAAAGATGGCAAAATTGTTTACAGCAGTGAGAGGGAGATCAAAAGCTAAGAACTACCCTGTAGCCAGGACTACAGCTGTGTATTTTAAAGCCATTATTCAAGGTTTCTTACTTGACAGTTCCTACACAACCCTGTTGAAAATCTACAATATATGCTGCATTTAATGAAACATGTATATGTCAAATCAGAAGAGAAGAACTATAAACATATATTGTGTAAAGAAAAAGTTCAGCATTGGAACTAGTTTCAGCAGATCAAGCAAAGATGTGTCTTGGGCATGGAACCAAAGTTACAATGAAACATTCAACCCCTGCTGTGCAGGGGGGTCATTTTAATGTAACACCACACCCCATGGAAACACTAGTCCTGATAATAAACATCATTTTAAAAGATCAGAACAAAAAAAAAAGAAAAAAAAAAAAAAAAAAAAAAAAAAAAAAAAAAACAAGGGTGGGTGGGGAGTGAAGCACGAGGAATACCTATGAAGAGCTATTTACAATAAAATGTTTCATTTGAAAAGTCTGGTTTCTTACTACAGGGATTTGCTTTTCTGTCTTTATGATTGTTTTAAACTCAGGAACAGAGACATCCGCATCGTGAATGGGAAGAAAAACACCCTATCTTTTGTTTTTCTGCAAAAGGTGGAGCTCGTGGAATTCATTCCACAGACAACAGATGAGAAGTGGATCACAGTGACCGTAACAAAACTGGTAACAAAGTCAAAGGACCTGGGCGAATGCAACATGCGAAATAAAAGCAGATTGGATGCTTCCCTGTCCTACTCTCACATCTGCATCCCTCCATCAACAATGACTGAGCTCATTCATATTGAAAATTAAGAAGATAATACTGTAAATCACATGCTCCCTGACTTAGTTCTGTTTAGAACGCTAACGTCTATGGGGAACATGGGCCAGAGATCATCTATGAATCTTTCATTTCCAAAATACTGGTTTTCAAATGGCTGCTTAAAATTGCCTACAAATGAATATGCTATATGATTTGGGCAAAAACAAAATAGAGTCAATGAATAAATTTCTACCAACAGTCGGATTTGCCACAGAGATGTGAATATTAAACTAAACTATTATTTTTTAAAGAATCCTTACATGCCTAGAGCATTCTGACCTCTTCTTGTTTAGAGTGATAACATTTTTTCCCAGACAGCTGACAGCAACAAGATAGCTCTACTTTTTTATATAGAAATAACATTATGTTACTGACAAGGTCATTTTCTAACAGAGACAATTAGAAGACTGATACTTTTCCTAAGTTGTATGTTACTGAGTCTTGGATTTCTCTCTGAGAGCAAATATATGTTCCTGAAAAGCTAATTTTACACCTCATTTACTGTAGATAACAGAACAACCTCAATTTTTCAAATTTTTGAAGTTTTATTTGTGGGACTAGAATTCCCATGCATAGAGAATATGTGTAGGGAGCCAGAAACTCTTTCTATGAAATCTTTCCATATGTGGGTTCAGTGTCATCCTTCAGTTTTAGCACTGGCATTTGCAAAGCCAGAATAATAAGTGAAGAATGTACAAGAAAAACTAGAATGCTGGGGTCCTACTTTTTGTTCTGATATGTACTGCTGACCCAGGTATCTTTGGCCCAGTCACTTAACCTCTGTGCCTCAGTCTCCTCATCTGCAAAATGGGGTTAAAATGCTTTTTCATAAAGTTTTATTTGCAATTTTAGAATAAGAGGTGCTTAAAGTAGCACAATGTGCTTTGTAATTATTATAAGTGCTGTATTATTTGACTTTCTTGTGTTATTGAGAAAAAAATTCCCTCATGTAATAAAATAGTGCTTCAGTTTGGTTAAATTTAAGCACTATAGCACTGAAGCTTGTCCTTCAAGCTACTTGGGACATTATTAGCAATAAAAATTGAGAGATTCAAAACCAGGATCTTTAATAATCTTTAGCAAATAGATTATCTCATGCTATTGAACAAGATAGAAGAGTGTCATTTCTATGATAAACATCTCCCAGCTGTCTTGATTGCATATGCGTGCCATCATACAGAATCCCACTTCTATCACAGGAGAGCCAACCATTAAAGACTTGGAGTGAACTGACAGTATCACATAATTAGCTTGACTTCTTTTATTCTGGAGGAAAGTCAGGTGTCATGTCCTACTGAGAAGATACAAAACAAACTATCCTGCTGAATACTTTTTATTATTTATTTATTTATTTATTTATTTATTTGAAACAGAGTCTTGCTCTGTCACCCAGGCAAGAATGCATTGGCTCAATCTTGGCTCACTGCAACCTCCATCTCCCAGGTTCAAGTGATTCTCCTGCCTCAGTCTCCCAAGTAGCTGGGATTACAGGTGTCCACTACCATGCTTGGCTAATTTTTGTGTTTTTAGTAGAGAAGGGGTTTCATTGTGCTGGTCAGGCTTGTCTCAAACTCCTGGCCTCAAGTGATTTGCCCATCTAAGCCTCCCAAAGTGCTAGGATTACAGGTGCGAGCCACCGTGCCTGGCCTCCTGCTGGATTCTTTATTCAACTAGGTAGGTTCTAGATTAAATATGAAGAGTAGGTTCATTGGGCAAGGAATGTGAAAGAGGATGCCTCTACACTGTTGGTGACTCAACCCTAGCAAACTTGAGTCAGAAAATATGGAAGAGGATACATTACTCTAAATTACTATCTCATACCTAAGATGTTTCAATTTCTCTTCACTCTATTCCAGGGCCCATATGAGTAAATTTATATTCCATCTGCTCCAATGCATACCTTCCTTCTCTTAATTTTGCTTTCCCACCAATAAATTTGTAAGTCAAAATTTATTTCCATGAACTATTTCTGGTTGGAAATATTTGCAAAAGTGATATGGTTTATATACCTAATCTGCTTACCTGCTATAAATCGGAATTGTATCATAAACACACAAAATCGTTTGAGAGCAACAGCTGGGATGATTGTCTAAGCAGCTTTAGCTGTGTTTAGTGCCAGGCAAAAGGTTTGTTTTTTTTTCTGTTTGCTTAAGATCCAGGAGATTAGCAAATTTCTCTAGACTATTGGCTCAGCTGTAATTTTTACCAAGTCTTGTTCATGAGCCTCAAAATTCATATATGCTTGAATAAGTCTAAACATTTCAATAGATACATCTCTCTATTATCTATTTTCACGATTATCAAAGCATCAGCAAAAATGTGGATGTATATTCTAGTCACTCATGGATCCATGGAAATGGACCATGTTTAAATGAATGCTTCCCTTGGATAGGATGTTCAGCAATAGAAAAAAAAAAAAAAAGGTGTTAATAACAGTGAGATTTCCCGTGACTCCACCCCTGCATCTGTACTACCAGACGCATTTGGCTAATGAGTTTGCAGGAGTCAGAACAGCATTCTTCGGGGGTCATTAACTTAATTTTTCTTAATAAAGTATTTATATTCTGGAAAATAAACGTACCTGACTACTAAAGATGGTTTGAGATAAATAAAAGCCCCAATTTAAATAGTTATTTGGGATAGAAAAATTTCATGAAAGAGGGGTAAAACATGGACAGACTGTATTTGACTATCATACTTAAAAAGCATCTATCACAAATTGACTGTCAAACTTTTTTGTAATGCCACCCTACTTTTAGGAAATAGAATTTTCTCAAAAAAAATTACATCCCTTCTGACTTACCCTATATAAATTATTGCCAATAGTTAGGTTTTAGGGGTGGAAGAATAGACCTTGCTTTGTTTTTATTTTTATTTTTTTGGTTCACAAATAACTGCTCGTGCAGGTAGTATGTGTCTTCCTAAGTCAATAAGATAGAGCTGATACGGAAGGCATGGGCTATCACTTACGTAGAGGAAACTTGTTCTCTACTAGTAATAGGAGAAATAAAGTTTGCCAAATAATTTTTGCTACAGTCTTTTATTTCAACTTTACTTTCAATTTTAAAGACATCTCTGGCAAACTTGTTCCTTTTTGCTCATTGATTGTCAACTTGTTCTGTAAACCCATTGTGTACTTCTTATGTTTGCTTTAATGTAATTCACAAGTTCATTGTTTTAAAATGAAGCACGTCTTTTTGAGTTGCCTAGGTTTCTGTGAAAACCGTTAAAAAGAATATTCATTGGTTTTGTGTTGATGTTTAAATAATTGGATCATCTGTGTTATATTACATCAAGATGGATGGATAGCATAGACGTTTTATTTTTAAAATATTCAATTGCATTATTTCAATCTGTCAGAGTGGCACAGAATACACACACACACACACACACACACACACACACACACACAGAGCAATAGAAATTTGCTCTGTAATTTGGGAGTTGCATTGCTTGTTGCCTTTTGTGAAATTTTCATAACAATGTTTTGGTAATTTAATGCTAGCTTTTGGCAGTTTAATTCTGTCACTTCACTAGTTTAGATTTATCTACTATATTGAAAAAGTTCAATATAACTTTTGAATGATAAGTAAACAAATCAAATCTTAGATAACCATTTATGTCATGAGTTTATGCTTTCAATATGGACCCACACCCCTCTTTAAGCAGACTTCTAGGTCTTAAGTGAGGAAAGCTGTCGTTTGCCTTGTCATTTCTATATAATGTACTATTTTGAGGGTTAATTTCAGGCATATTGGCAAGAGGATTCAGACATAATGGAAGGTTGGAGCTAATCCCTGTAAGGCCTCTTCAAGTGCCAACTTCTCTGATTCCATTTCAGAACGGGGCAGGGCAGATTCACATTCCTTTGCTGTCTTTAGTTTGGCAGTTTAGTTCTTCCTAAGCAAATCTGTTGCTGAGAGACCAAGTCCAATGTTTAATCAAAATTCCTAAAGATAGCTGCTCAGAAAGCTAAACTGGGAGGACAGCTTGGGCCCAGGAGTTCAAGACCAGCCTAGGCAACATGGTGAGACTTCATCTCAAAAAAAAAAAAAAAAAGAGGAAAAAAACTACTAAAGAGATACTTATAGGGGCAAGGTAGCAAAAATAGGAGTATAATTTGCTATATTTAACCAAGTATGTCAGAGGTACAGGTGGTTGATGTGGTGAGGGTTTCTGTTTTTGTTTTGTTTTGTTTTGTTTTCTGCTTTTAGGTCTTTGTACCCATGCTTATATTTTCATCCTTTTTATATGCAAAGTTCTGTAAGGTAAGAGTGGTGAAGTTAAACAAATTTTAGCCCAATTTTGCCTACAATCAAGACCCCATGAACTTACTACAGAATGGATGATGCAATTTTCCAAGCAGAAGCAGATCCCCAGCATCTGTTAGTAACAACACTTCTATTTGACTGACATATCACAGACTGTGCCTATATCCCCCATCAACCATAGCAACTTCCCACAATGAGGCAGATCAAACTCCAAACACTTTTATAAATAAGTGATGTAAATATATGCACAAATATATTCTGTACATAGTATGATGGTGTGAGCGCTTACTAAATGTGTACTTCTGTTCTAGGATGCAGGACTTCAAGAAGGGTTTTTTTCTGCTGCTGCTGGGAACTCATGTTCTTGTTGAGTATTTAGTGTTTGAACTCTTCCCCTCCTTGACTACCTCTTCTCTCTCTCACCCCACCTTCTGTTCACTACTATTATTTCCGATTGTTGACTGAGGCAGAGGCTACTTGGTTTTTCAATTATCCAGTCCCATAAACCAGCAAATAAGTCTTTTTATTTGTTTGGTTAGTTGTTTGATTTTTTTTTTTGAAAGAGCAACAGAAAGTTCAGCACAATCTACAGTATTAAAATTAGCCAAAAATTCCATATCTTTATTAGCTAAAAATTCCATTTCAACAGGGTTCATGCATGTTTTAGCCTTCAAGATCCAATACTTTGGGGACGCAAGTATAGAGCTAATGTGTTTGAATACATAATTCCCAGGTTCCTACTCTGGTAATGTAGCCAAGGGTCCAATTTCACAGAGTTTTCATTCAATCAACTGCCTCAATTGGGGTTCTCTCTGTCCATCTCATTAGCATGACTCCATATATCACTTCAGTGCTTGTTGATTAATGAAAGAAAAATAAAAATTGACTGAACTTCACCAGAATGATCCTTGGAAGCACCCCAAATATGTACATTTACTGTATGTATTACCGTAGAGATTGGAATCAACTTACTGTATGTAAAGTTTTATGAATGGTTATTTTATAATTTATGTATTTAATATAGGAATCAACTCTGGTGTTTTAGTTTATATAAAAATAAAACAAGCTGCATTTTTTTAAAACTTTATCTTGCATTGTTCATAGCTTGTTTGTTTAACTGAACTCTATTCTACTTTTTTTTTCCTGAGACAGTCTTGCTCTGTTGCCCAGGCTAGAGTGCAGTGGTATGATCTCAACTCGCTGGCTCACTGCAACTTGCACCTCCCGGGTTCAAGTGATTCTTCTGCCTCAGCCTCTCGAGTAGCTGGAACTACAGGTGTGCACCACCACATCCCGCTAATTTTTTTTGTATTTTTAGTAGAGATGAGGTTTCAAGATGTTGGCCAAGCTGGTCTCAAACTCCTGGCTCAAGCAATCCACCCACCTCGACTTCCCAAAATGCTGGGGATTACAGGCATGAGCAACTGCACCCAGCCTCGAATCTACTTTTGAAAAACAGGGTGAGGCAAATCAGGGCTATCAGTGTAATGGAAGGAAACAACCCTATGTGTGGGACAGTAAATAGATTTCTTCTCATCTTCCCACTCTCCATTTGTTATCGTGTGTGCCATGAGCACTATGATAAGGAAGTCAAAGCAGAATTTACACCCCTAGGGGAAATCTATCAACATCAGTATCTCTGTAATGAAAATAGTTTGG